CTGTTACCCCAGCAGGGTGTTATTGGGCTTTTATTACTGGGTCTCATCCAGGTATACAGAGGATGTACAAGTCACACCTCAAAAGCAGCAATAATATCAGGAGTCTCACCCCAAATGCACAGGGCAGTAAGCCCTATAGTGCAAGCTAAAGACCGCAGTCTCACTTACCTTATGACCCCTGCCTGTGAAGGAGATGCCTGTGGATATGATGGTGTGACCGGGTAGCTGAGAAGCAGAGCGCCGGCTGAACGGAGATCATGAAGCTCCTAAAAAAGACACGAGATCCAAGATGGCCGCCGTTGGCGCCGGAAAAAAATACCCATGCGCGCCAGCTATTATGAATGTGGGTGTGAAACCGTGAGCTAAGGGACGGGCGGTGGGGGTGAACGTTACCCCTAGTAACAGAAAAATAGAACGATCCGTCGGCGGAGACCGGCGGATCGATCAGGAAACCGCCACAGTAAAAAACACACAAACATCAAGTGAGAGAAACAGAAGAGCCCCAGAGAGAAGGGGGTAGAGAGAAAAGTGCAGGGAAAGGGAACCCTGAGGAATAAAGTAAATAATATAGGAATGAAAAGACAAACCCCTACAGGATAAAAGAAGGGGAATATAAACAGTAACAATAAATGTAAATATATACAAAATTAGCAATAGCAATATAAAGGGGAAGAGTCCAAAACTCTGACCTGTCTGCTGACGGAGCAGTAAAGAAAGAGGGGGAGGAGCCTCATCACTGTGAATACTATTGCATTAGATTGGTTATTGTTTTCACTTTTCTTTATTACTATGTGGAGTTAGTAAAGAGAGTTAATGCAAAATAGGAAGCCTGCTGTCATGTGGTAAAATTTGGTATTATCGCGCTCACGCTCTCTCATACTGGTCACTGGAAGTTCAACATGGCACCTCATGGCAAAGAACTCTTGAGGATCAAAAAAAAAAAAAGAATTATTGCTCTACATAAAGATGGCCTAGGGCCTAGGCTATAAGAAGATTGCCAAGATCCTGAAGCTGAGCTGCAGCACGGTGGGCAATACCATACAGCGGTTTCACAGGACAGGTTGCATTCAGAACAGGCCGCGTCCTGGTCAACCAAAAAAGTTGAGTGCATGTGCTCAGCGTCGTATCCAGAGGTTGTCTTTGGGAAACAGACGTATGAGTGCTGCCAGCATTGCTGCAGAGGTTGAAGGGGTGGGGGGTCAGCCTGTCAGTGCTCAGACCATACACCGCACACTGCATCAAATTGGTCTGCATGGCTGTCATACCAGAAGGAAGCCTCTTCTAAAGATGATGCACAAGTAAGCTCACAAACAGTTTGCTGAAGACAAGCAGACTAAGGACATGAATTACTGGAACCATGTCCTGTGGTCCGATGAGACCAAGATAAACTTATTTGGTTCAGATGGTGTCAAGCATGTGTGGCACCAACCAGGGTAGGAGTACAAAGAGAAGTGTGTCTTGCCTACAGTCAAGCATGGTGATGGGAGTGTCATGGTCTGGGCCTGCATGAGTGCTGCCGGCACTGGGGAGCTACAGTTCATTGAGGGAACCATTAATGCCAACATGTACTTTGACATGAAATAGAGCATGATCCCCTCCTTTCGGAGACTGGGCCGCAAGGTAGTATTCCAACATAATAACGACCCCAAACACACCTCCGAGATGACCACTGGCTATTTAAATACAGATTTATACACACACGTACACCTATACATACACACATATACTAAACATACATGCACATGAACCCATATACGCAAATATAAATGCACACCCGCATATATAAACCTACATGCATTTAGTATCGGAAAGCCTATGTCTATACATTATTATTATTATTATTGCCATTTATATAGCGCCAACAGATTCCGTAGCGCTTTACAATATTATGAAAGGGGATTTAACTATAAATAGGACAATTACAAATAAACTTACAGGAACAATAGGTTGAAGAGGACCCTGCTCAATCGAGCTTACATTCTATAGGAGGTGGGGTGTAAGACACATTAGGACAGGAATGTGCAATCAAAAAAGGTGGGCTGCCCTTTAGGAGAGGGCAAGAGACGGGTATGTGAGGTAGGGGTTAGTCTTGGAGGCCATAAGCTTTCCTAAAGAGATGGGTTTTAAGGCACTTCTTAAAAGATGCAAGACTAGGGGAGAGTCGGATGGCGGTAGGCAGGCTATTCCATAGGAAGGGAGCCGCCCGCGAGAAGTCCTGCAAGCGCGAGTTGGCCGTACGGGTGCGGACAACGGACAGGAGGTGGTCACGGGCAGAGCGGAGAGACCGAGAAGGGACATACCTGTGGATCAGTGAGGAGATATAAGAGGGGCTAGAGTTGTTCAGTGCTTTATAGGTGTGAGTTAGTGCCTTGAATTGACTCCTATAGCACACAGGAAGCCAATGTAAGGACTGGCAGAGGGGTGAGGTGTGAGAGAACCGACTAGAGAGGAAAATCAGTCTAGCAGCAGCATTCATTACAGACTGTAGGGGTGCAGTACGGCTTTTGGGAAGACCAAGCAGGAGAGGGTTACAATAATCCATGCGTGAAATTATTAGAGCATGGACAAGCTCCTTGGTAGTATCTGGTGCAAGAAAGGGGCGGATGCGGGCTATGTTTTTAAGATGAAATCTACAGGATTTGGCAACATGCTGGATGTGAGGCTCAAAGGTGAGACCAGAGTCAAGTATGACGCCAAGACAGCGCGCTTGCAAGGATGGGCTGATGTTGGTACCACAAACTTGAAGGGAGAGCGAGAGAGGAGGATCAGTATTAGGAGGAGGAAAGACAAGGAGCTCAGTTTTTGAGAGATTGAGTTTCAGAAAGCGGGAGGACATCCAGTCAGAGATGGAAGAAAGGCAAGCAGTGACACGTTGCAGGACAGCAGGGGAGAGGTCCGGGGAGGAGAGATATAGCTGGGTGTCATCAGCGTACAGGTGGTAGTGGAAACCAAATGAGGTAATAAGTTTGCCAAGAGAGGCAGTATAAAGAGAAAATAGAAGGGGACCAAGGACGGAGCCTTGGGGGACTCCAAACGAGACAGGGCGAGGGGAGGAGGTATCTTTAGAAAAAGAGACACTGAATGAGCGTTGGGAGAGATAAGAGGAAAACCACGAGAGGACAGAGTCACAGAGACCAAGCGATTGCAGAGTTTGAAGAAGGAGAGCATGATCATACATCGCCTATGTCTATACATACTAGTCTATACATGGGTGGGGTTCATGTAAAATGTGCACATTCATTCTGCCATTTAATTTCCGGGTGATTTCCCCAATGTAGCATCCTAGGTGGCATTTGGTGCATTGAATCATGTATACCACGTTGCTGGATGTGCAGGAGTATGAACCTTTAAGGCTGTAGGTTTTATTGTTGTGTGTGGCTGTGTTATCTGTGCATATGCGCTGACACAGTTTGCAGCGAGGTTTTTTGCATTGACTGGTCCAGTTTTTTTTTATTCTTCCCATCAGTGGGTAGCTACCTGTTGATTAATTTTGTTGGAGGTTTGGTGGTTGCCTAAATGTCTAAATGGGGTTCTCACTGGTTGTAAGTCTTTAATGATTTTTCGTATTTTTTGAAAGAGCTGGGTTGTAGGTGACCACAAGTGGCACTCGTGTAGATATTTATTTCTCTCTGTACTGTAGCAGGCGCATGCGTGGAGTTTATATAGCAGAGTGGATTTCTTTGATAATGGTCCTTGGTTTGTAGCCTTTCTGTCTCATAGATTAGGAGAGTACATTTAGATGGGAATTTGGGTCAGAGCATATGTGATGGTACCTTGTTGCTTGGATGTAGACGATGTCCTGTTCAGTATGGGGAGGTGGAAGTGGAAGCTGTGCAAAGAGGAATCCTACTGCACTCTTGTTGTGGGACACCATTTACCCTGCCTGACTACTCAAACAAGGACCTACAAATCAAAGTACTGAAAGGGGATTTTAAAAATACCCAAGAAAGAAAAACTTGTTAAGCCAGAATGATCCAATGTTTTAAGAGCAAGACAGCAAGAATAAAGGACTGAATGTTGATTTGGGTTTCCTGTCCCACTATCAACACTTTACATGAAACTTTATGCATGTTCAGGTGAGTGCAGCCTCCCCCCCGTTAGATAAAATTCATATCTTGTAATACCATTTTATTTATTTATCTGTGTATGTGTAGACACATTTGTACATGTGTAAGTATATGTATTGGTGCTTGTGCGCAGGGACGTATTAGCCGTGAGGCAAACAAGGCATTTGCCTTGGGCGGCATTTTCCAGGGGGCGGCAAAAAAAGCCGCCCCCAAATGCCCAGGGCAAATGTCTTGTTAGCCTTGCAGCTAACTAAAAATCTGTTTGGTCGGGCGGGCGGCGCTGGCGAGGGAGCACTTTCCCCTGAGCTCTCTGCTTAGATCCCTCGCGTGCCGCAGAGTGCTGCTGGGAGCCGGAATATGACATCATATGTGAGCTCACTAATCAGTGCTGCCTCGCCAGCGCCGACCGCCCGCACAGCTGCCCCACTGGATCCCAGGGAAAGGGAGAACCACCCCCCCAGCATTCCCAACGGTAAGGAGGTTGAATAAAAAAAAAAAAAGTGAGTGTGTTAATTTTAGTGTGTGTGTTTGTTAGTGTGAGAGTGTGTCTGTTAGTGTGTGTGTCTCTGTTAGTGTGTGTGAGTGTGTGTCTGTTAATGAGTGTGTGTATTTAGAAGGTGGGGCAGGGGGGAAGGGTGGGGTGGTGCGGGGGGAAGGGGGTGCCTCAGGTTTGTCATGCCTAGGGCAGCACAAAACCAGGATACACCACTGCTTGTGTGTGGATGTACATATATTTGTACATTTGGTTTTATTTATATTTATATCAGTGTATGTACTAATGCATATTGTATATGTACTTGTGTATACTTGTACATATACACTATTTATGTATATGGACATATGTGTAGATAAGATAGATCTGATAGAAAATAGACACCATTCTCACAGAGGGTCATAAATATCTTGTATGAAGATCACAGTGTGAGGGGGGAGAGCTAGAAAAACAAGCAAACAGCACAAAAGATAGTGCTAGAAGGGGAGAGTAAAAATTTGTCTGTGTATGCGGTATATAGGCCTTCATACATATGCTGGATGTTAATTCATACATTCTTAATCTAAGTAATTATTATGTTTTTTGCTCTTCCCTTCTAGCACTATCTTTTGTACTGTTTGCTTGTTTTTCTTTCTCTCCCCCTCACTCTGTGATCTTCATACAAGATATTTACGACCCTCTGTGAGAATGGTGTCTATTTTCTATCAGATCTATCTTTTCTTCACTCATGTCACTTTAACCCCTGTATCACAACTCAACTTTAAATTCTATATGTCGTCTTTAATCAGAAATGCTTTAGACTTGAGAAAAGGAGGTTTTCCTGAAAGCTTGTCATTACAAAATTCTGTTAGTCCAATAATAAAGGTATTACAAGATACAAATGTTATCAGTTTTTTTACACACACATATATATACATATATACCAAATAAGTTGTGGAAAAAAGTGTGGATGAAAACCCCTTCCACCTGAAATAAGTGGATAGTTAATGCAATGTTAAACACAAATAAACACACAAAGCAAGCCATAAGACTTGCTTTTAACACAGAAATCTCACTTTAACAGTGCTCTCACTACTGCAAGGGATTCTGGGTAGGCATATGCAAAAAAAAGCTCAACAAAGAATCTTTGCATTAACTATCCTATATTTATGCGGATGCTAACATCTGATCAGATATATATTGTTGTCTGTTGCTCCTGAAGAAAGCCCAGGACATGGGCCGAAACGTCGAGATTTTATGGAATAACCGAATAAAGATGATTTTTTTTTAACTACAAGACCGTGAGTGCTAGCCTATATTTTACATATTTTATATATATATATATATATATATATATATATATATATATGATCAGATGTTAGCATCTGCATAAAAATGAAGACAATACTAGGAACATGTTAGATATGCAAGTTCAATTTAAAAACTCTAAATCCAAGCTTCAGTATTATTATGATGATCTCCATAAATTGACCTGCTAGTTACAAACCGGAATAGATTGTGAATATGAATGTCTTCTAATAATGCTAGAACTCTGAACATATTCAAAGATAAAGTGCTACTAGTGACTTTTCATTTTTGAGTTATTTTTTTCATATCCATTTAATTACATTAAAGGAAGTTTTGATAATAACGGAATGTAGCTTAAATCAGTTGGAAATCAAAACATAAATACAAGTTTAAGCAGCCAGACTCCATTATTACAAATGTTCCCATTAGAAGAGCACACCTTTAAAATGTTGATTACCGCACTATACACAGTAAATGACTGTAAACCTCCATGAATCTTCTACAAGTTAGCACAATTCTCACATAAGTAACATGAGACTTCTACGAATGTTGTTGGGAATGTCAAACAGGGTTATTTAATAGAGCCTGGATTGAAAAGCTTTGGATTGGCTAAAATCGGCACGGGGGTGATTGTGAGTCACTGTGTAAGTTAGATTTTCACTTAAAGTGTCTCACCTCAAACCTAACTTTCTCTTATTGTTTCCTTTTCCCTTCCTCTGTTTTTATTTTCTTAATTTCTGATCTATTTCTCTTTAAAAGATAAGTAGGGTCTACTTTGTCTTTTGTATTTTTTCTAAACTTGGCAATCTTCGCAAAGGATGGAGCTTAAAGCGATACTGTCACCTAAAAAAATACATTGTATTTTATAACAATAGAATCTTTCAATCACTGAGTGGGAGTGCCCAGCTGACTCTCTCAGCCAATCAATGACTGACCGGATTGACATCTGGCTTCTAAAGCTCTGTAGAAACCAAATGTGCATCAACAGGAGGCTCGGCACCTGGATAGGATCCAGGTAAGAGAGTAAACCATTTTGCAACAGTTTGCCCCATTACCAGCACCAGGATACTTCTCATATCACCAGCTGCACTGATTATAAAGCTAGGAATAACCATTTAATGACATAAAGCAGAATTCTAATAGGATTATTTAACTAGAGTGGGATACAAACACCAAATAATTACATGTTTATTTTAATTGTTTACTTAAAGGTAAATCTTTTAGAACCCCCAAAATAATATATATTTTTTTTTTTATACCATTACATTAGGTAATTCTGGGTATGAAATATATACTTTTCTCCCCTGATTACAAAGTTGATTTAGAAAAAAACGAATGTTTTTTGGTGTGCAGCTGTTTAAATCAATATAATCAATAGTATTCTGTAAGAGAAGTTGGAGCAGATAAAAGTAAATCTATGGAACAGGAGAAAGTGGATTTAAACACATTGGAGTTCTGTATAAATAGTGTCACATTCACTTTAATCCCTGGGTTTGTGCACTTTTTTTATACATAGAAAGTTGTCGCTTCACCTTCTATACATTGACAAGTTTTTTCCACCTATATCGTGGTCCACCAAAATCTATGTCTGGCACCTTTTCTGCATTTTCCTCCCCTATTTTTAAACCATTGATTTGACTGCAACTCACGGGTTAATTAAGGCACCCAGGTTACTTCATCTCAATGGTGGTGAGTTTTAAACCTGCAATGTAAAGCTTTGCACTTTTTTTAGAAACTGTTAAAATAGTTATGAATGCAATAATATATCACACATACAGAGTCCTGGAATAGGACATTTCAACCCTCCAGAACGCTCAAATTATAATATAACATGAACAAGGTTCGTATCTTTTATGGAAATTTTTTTTATGTATTATATTGATGGACCTCCCAGGATCACACAGTATCTGATTAAACGTAAAGGACCACTATAGTCACCCAGACCACTTCTTCTCAATGAAGTGGTCTGGGTGCCATGTCTCCATGGTTTTAAGCCTGCAGCTGTAAACATAGCAGTTTCAGAGAATCTGTAATGTTTACATTGTAGGGTTAATCCAGGCTATAGTGGCTGTCTTCCTGACAGCCGCTAGAGACATTTCCCCGATGCTCAATGCGAAAATCGCATTGAGCACACAGAACGTCCATAGGAAAGCATTGAAAAATGCTTTCCTATGGACGTTTTTAATGCACGCACGGCTCTGGCCATGCATGCGCATTCGGCTCCACTCGGGAGCTGACGTTAGAGGGGAAGGAGAGGTCACCAGCGCCGAGTGAGCCCGGCACAGGATAAAGGTAAGTGACTGAAGGGGTTTTAACCCCTTCAGCCCAGCGGGAGGGGGGCCCTGAGGGTGGGGAGGGAACTAAGGACTAAATAGTGTCAGGAAAACGATTTTGTTTTCCTAACACTATAGTGGTCCTTTAAGCTCTGGTAAAAAAAACCACAATGAGAAATGGACTGTGTCCTATTACACAGGAGTTGAGTTCATATAATAATGCCTGAATTAAGAAATGTGGTGCATCATATGACTTCAATAAACAGATTATTTATGTTCTGCAAGAGTAGCAAAATATAATAGAGAGCGTCAGCAAGGAAGTAATCATATCTTGGGGGACAATTATCCATTTTCCTCACCCATATCTGCCCTAAACGGCACTTCTGAGTGGGGACACTAAACATACAAATGTGTTTATTTATATGAACTTGCTATGTCAAGGAAAGATAAGTGCCTTTTTACAAGAAGAAAATGTGAGAAATTATTATTTGCTTTGAGCACTTCATAAAGTGGCCCAGTTACTTCAGAGAATTTTACGGTGATAAAATCTTTATGAAATACTCATATTGACTCAACCAAAAGATTTGTCTTATGGGCATGTTTGAGGTCGAGAAATCTTAACCAAAGGTAGAGCTATCATCAGCATCACATTTTGTCAAGAAGCAGCTTGTTGTGCATTGCGTGAGTAGAGCTTTGGAGATCTCATTGCTCTCACAGATCCTCCCCAGATCTCTGTGTTGTACTTTTTTTTTTTTAATTCTTCATTTTATCGTGCATTGGTTAACAGTACATGCTTGTCTAGCCACAATAGCTTCTAAAAGCTTAGTAGTAACAGTTACGACCAGGGGCGTACCTAGAGCATTTGGCACCCGGGGCGGATCCTGTGCTTGGCACCCCCCCCCCAAAAAAAAAAAAAACCTGTAAAAATTTTAAAAGGTTCTCTTTTTTATCAGCTGTTCTTATGTGAGCTGTACTGGCACGCACTAATTGTAACACAATGCGGCCACAGCTCACACAGCCCTCCAGCCAGGGCCGGTGCAAGGATTTTTGCCGCCCGAGGCAAAAGTAAAGTTTGACGCCCCCCCTGTGACATCACAATGCCCCACCCATATGATTTGCCATGTTAACTAACGCCAGTGCTGCAGTGCGCTGTGTTTACATTAAAAGGCCTGCAGGGACAGGCTATAGACACCAGAACCACTACATTAAGCTGCAGTGGTTCTGGGGACTATGGTGTTTCTTTAATGTGAGGTAAATTAGAGATTAGTGCCACGAATAATATACTAGATTGCCTACTTACAACCAGATGAGGATGATGATGGCTCTAGCTGCCGTCTGGCTCCACTGGTCTGGTGTAGAACAGGCTCTCTGGGGCGGTTTGTGCTGTGGTCCACAAAAATGTGTTCTGGGAGAACGGGAAGCAGCTCCATTTTTTGGGGGTCCTTTACACAGCTCAAGGTCTGGGTCCCAGGGTCCACCTTCATGTTCCACCAATGCATCTCTTCATTGACTCAATGCATCTCTATGGGGAAATTACAGGGCCTCCATGCAGAGCGTAGAAATCCTGAATGTCAGTGATGCACCTCTAGTGGTAGTCTGAGTGACTGCCACTGGAGGTGTCCCTTTGCTCTGAAAAAGCAACCTTTACATTAAAATGCCTGCAGTAACATATTCTACTCACCAGAACAACTACATTAAGCTGTTCTGGTGACTATAGTGTCCCTTTAAGGTAGGCATATGATTGATCTTTACTGTATAACATATATGCCAACCATTTTTGTCTGATTTCCATATATTTACATTCACTCTTTGCATAGTCTTTACTGAATTTGTAGTCACATTCCCCATTATGCCACACATTTTATATTTTATTCTAAAGGTGTTGTAATATTTATGAATAAGGTGGGATCGTTAGTCCAGGCAGAATAAATCCCAGAGCTACTGTAACCCCTTGCAGATAGACTGTACATAAATACTTTGCTCTCTGTTCTTCTTGCCTGCACTGCTACTGTAAATCATTCAATTGTAGCTTTGGATGTTAAATTCCAAACATGACAGGCAGTGAAAAGTCACTAAA